TTGTTTTAATTATTGTTTTATAAAAATTGGGTTTTCTGATGTATTCTACTATCTCTTCAGACAAGGCCCCTCTATCATTTTTCCATTTCCAAATTATCTTACCATTCTTGCCTGACTCTACTTTCTGTGGAATTTTAATATTTTACTAGTTATCAATCCAGTGTGATCATAGCAGGTGAAGCAATCTTTCCTTGCACCACTGACTGATCCTCCGACACTGGCAACTTCATTGCCATCCTGGCAGCTCCTCTCTCCCTCCAGCTCTGCACTTGACTTGTTGAGATTCCATGCACGCATTTCAGCATGACCATTCTTGCCCTATACTTTTTGGAATTTTAGCCTCCGAACCAGTGTAGGAGCAGATTATGATGGGAATCAAACCCTACACATCAGTGGAGCAGAGCAGCATGTCATCTTAGGTAGAAATAAAGATTAAGTTCAACATGTAGGAAAATTATCTGAAAGCCCCTTACATTATCTATTTAGTTTGGCATGTATGGTTTTTGTGTACAGAAAACTATGTGCAATAATACACATATATTATAATACATAATAATACATATAACATGTCATATATTACACTCATTTAGGGGAGATTTAATGGTATATTTTCTCTCTCCCTACATCCCTGTACTGAGTCTGTTTATTTTAATTTATGTAAATTGAATCCACTTATGAGGCAGTTTTACTCTGTCTGCATGGTTGAGAGATGCCTCCTGATTCTTAGGTTATTTCGTTATTGAATCTCTGATTTAGAAGGTAGCAAAATTTATTTTTTATTATTTTTTTATTTTTTTATTTTTTTTTAAAGATTTAATTTATTTATTTGACAGAGATCACAGGTAGGCAGAGAGGCAGGTGGGGGGCGGGGGTGGGAAGCAGGCTCCCAGCTGAGCCGGGAGCTTGATGCGGGGCTCGATCGCAGGACCTGGAGATCATGACCTGAGCCAAAGGCAGAGGCTTAACCCACTGAGCCACCCAAGCGACCCCAAAATTTATTTTTTTTAAATTATATCTCTCAAGCTATGGATTTGCTCTTTTGCAAACAGCAAACTGTATGTAAGACGTAGATTTTGATTCTCAGTTTGGTTTTATGAGTCCTATTCAAATTTTGCCCCAGTTTTGTATGGAAGTTTTACTATTAGGCTTGAATTTCAGTGTTCCAAGTTTTCATATATTTGTGTGTGTGTGTGTGTGTGTGTGCACATGTGCACACCTGTGCTTTTATTATTATATGGAGAGAAACTGGAATATGCTGCATCTGAGGCTACTAGATAAATACAATATCACTAGATGCTTTGAAACTATTATTTAATATTTGTTTGAAGAATGATGTTAAAGGATAAATCTGTTAAAGGATTAACTTCAACTGGAATTTCTTAATAAAATTGCTTATAGGGATGACTGTAATTATATGGATTAATAATTATCCCTGACAGGGGAGGGAAGGTTGTCCTTCATGTCACTCTAATGCCAAATGCAGTTGTTTCTGCCTGGTGCTAAATGCTCAAAATAATTAGCTAATTTCACTTCCCTATTTAGCAAGAGGAAAATATTTTCATCCCTGCTTCCTTGCTCCTCACATACCAATTTATTCCGCCCCCTGAACAAGTTTATGGGTGACCCTTTCTTCCAACTAGAGGCAAAATATTGGGTCTTGAAGCTCTGTTGGAATTGTCCTTCTTAGTCTTTTAGTGCAGAGATTATGATCATAGCTAGGATTTGAGGTAAGCAAAAGAAAACTGTGTTTGACAAATACTATCTCTGATTAACTAAGAACCATGTGAAAAGAGATGGCTGAGATATGGTCTTTAACCTAAGGAAACTTCCAGTCTAGCATGAAGGATAAACACTTAATCGAATAGCTACATTATGAAGAGTTCTGTATTAGAGGTATGACCAAAATGAGACCATGACACAGACATGAGATGATTAATTCTGCTTGGTCAGGAGTCAGAGGAACAATCAAATCAACAAAAACCCAGTTCACCATTACAGGAAATCAAGAGGGCAAAAATATTGTGAGAAAAAAAGATCAGCAGTTCTGTCAACTGTACTTCAATTTTTAAAAAAAATTTTTAAAGGTTAACAGCAGCAGAAACTAACATGAGTTAGTTTTGGGAAATCTGCATGAAGAGCTGAGTTTTGGAGGATAAATACAAGCGTCCAGGAGATGTTGAGAGAGTAACATACCCCATTTGTGTAGGTGTAAAAATGCTCACTCTGCTACAAGGAAAATAAATTGTCCACTATGACTCATCTTGGTGTATATGTTTGGAGTTGGAGGTGAAGTTAAAGACTAGGAATGGCCTCCTAAGCCATACTATTGATTCTGAAATTTGTTCTATGGGTGACTCAGAGGTTAGGGTGCAGAAGAATGGTATGCTCATATTTATGTTTTAGAAGGAAAGCTGGCAACAGAGTAGGAAGCTGAGGCCAAGAAGATAGTTGGGAATAATTTGTTCCTGTCAGCTAAATGTAGAGCTTGCCCTCCGTTCCTTTTTGCTTCTGGAAGAGGGTTAAAGCAGAGGAAGAAATAGAAAGGAAGAAAAAGCTAAAAGAGGACAAGAACGTTCTGGAGGCATTTATATTGATCAGTTGTAGGAGTGAAGAAGGGAAGCTTCCATTCCTCTCACCTCAAGATCACTTGTATGGCATCTTGGGCCTGGAAACCAGGAACTACCTACTAGATGCTGTCTCCTGGTTTCTAACACCTTTTTTTGCCTCTTACATCTGATCTTGTCATTAAATTTTAATAAAAAAAAAAAAAACAAAAACAACTTTCGTCATTTCGTTCCTAACATGACAAATGCTAACTTGCAGTTTAAACACTTAGCACCTAATCAAGATCCTTATTTTCCCTCTTCCTGTTGAATGCTGCCTGGAGATGATTCTCCAGAAGTTCTGCTTTTATCATTACAAACCCTGCTCAGAAGCTTAATTTGAAGGACAAAAGTTCTCAGGATAAATTTTAAAACTCCATCCTTCACAGGCGCCTGGTTGGCTCTGACGGTTAGGTTAAGTAACTGCCTTTGGCTGGGTTCATGATCTCAGAATCTTGGGATCCAGTCCCACATCGGGCTCCCTGCTCATGGGGAGCCTGCTTCTCCCTCTCCCTCTGCCTGCTGCTCCCCCTGCTGGTGTGTGGGCTCTCTTTCTAATAAATTAATAAAATCTTTAAAAACAAAAACGTCCATCCTTCCTACCAGCATGATAGCTCTCAGTTACTGTGGCCCTTTGCCATAGTCTTTCTCCCATAAATCCCTTCTGAATCTTCACTCCTTAGTCTGCTCCTATTAAAATTCTTTTGGTCCTTCATAGAATTAAAAGTTCAGCTCAAATCCTATTTCTCGTTACACATTTTTAGGTGAGTAACGGGAGGCCACACTTACCTTATGTAAAGCACTTGAAACTTTATTTGGAAAGCCCTCTTCCTTTCTCTACATATATTATTTGTCTGAATGTTTGGGAGTTCTCAAAAATATCTGATAGCCTAGTTTCCAGTGGGACCATGTTTCGTTCAATCCAGCCAGTATTTATTGTGCTCCTAATATGTGGAAGGTATCATGCTAAACATTCTCAGGATGCCAGTGTTAAGGGATAAGTAAGTCAAATGTCTGCTCTCAGAAAGAACAGCTAACAAATTTATTAATTGGAGAGTTGTTTCTACTTGACCTGCATGATTAATGATTTGTGACTTTTCAAATAAGAAATGATAATAAGAAAAAGTACTCTTCCTTCATTGATTTGGTGAATTCCATAAGTAGATGAAATTGTGATGGAAATTCCATAAATGTGTTTAAATGGCACACATTTCACATTTCACAGCAAAAATCCCTTCTCAACAGACACAAATACAATCAAGCCTTCAGTACTGAACTATACACTTTATCCTACTGTATATGTTGCTAATTAGAACATAGGTCTTCGGGGCACCTGGGTGGCTCAGTGGGTTAAAGCCTCTGCCTTCAGCTCAGGTCATGATCCCAGGGTCCTGGAATCGAGCCCCGCATCGGGCTCTCTGCTCAGCGGGGAGCCTGCTTCCTCCTCTCTCTCTGCCTGCCTCTCTGCCTACTTGTGATCTCTGTCTGTCAAATAAATAAATAAAATATTTTAAAAAAAAAGATAAAAGAACATAGGTCTTCATCCATTTGGGCTGTTATAACAAAATATCACAGACTGGGTGGCTTATAAACAACAGAAATTGATTTCTCACAGTTGTAGAGGTTGGAAGTCAGAGATCAGGGTGCCAGTTTAATTGATTAAGGGCTCCCTGCTGGGTCACAGCCTGCCAACTTCTCACTCAGTACTCACGCAATAGTAGGGGCTGGCTCTAGGGCATTGATCTCATTCATGAGGATTCTGCTCTCATGACTTCGTCACTTTCCAAAGGCCTCACCTCCTTCTGCCATCATATTGAGCATTAGGATTTCAGCATGCATTTGGGGGAAACAGAAACATTCAGATAGTAGCTCCATGTGTATTTAAAATGCCTTCCTCAGAGGCTAAAAGTTTAGGAAACTGATGTATCCATTTTCCACACCATCCTTATATAAGTGCCTGCGCTGTTTTAGACTTCTCTGCTATTCATTTTAAAGGAAAGCAAACATAATTTATTTTAATTATTTTACCTGAGAGGAGAATTTAACAAATGAGTTACTACCAGCCATAGTTAGAAATAGAATATATGAAGGGGACAAGCTATAAGGAGGTAGACAAGCCTGATAAAAATTTAAGACCAGCTGGGTCAGCCCTGACATTTACACCAAACCCATTTGCCCTCTGGTACTCTTAGTAAGGAAAACAGTTGTAAGGATTCAGTAATCCCATTAGATAGGAAATACAGTTTTCCAGATGATGGGAATTTTATCCCAGAGGGATTTGAATATTACAGGAAAAAATGAAGGATTAAATAAGGCTCAGAAGAAAGCAGACATACCCTATGTTACCATCTTTGGCCAATGCTTTCTAATTCTTCTTTTTCGTATCTTTAAATACAGAATCCCCTTCACCTACAACTGAGTTTAGAAAATTCATTAAGTTCTGATGCTGATGTCACTGTCTCAATCCTGACCATGAACAACTGGTACAATTTTAGCTTGTTGCTGTGCCAGGAAGACTGGAACATCACCGACTTCCTCCTCCTTACCCAGAATAATTCCAAGTTCCACCTTGGGTCTATCATCAACATCACCACCAACCTCTCCTCCACCGACGACCTCTTAAGCTTCCTGCAGGTCCAGCTTGAGAGTATTAAGAACAGTACGCCCACCATGGTGATGTTTGGCTGTGACATGGAGAGTATCCGGCGGATTTTTGAAATTACCACCCAGTTTGGAGTAACCCCGACTGAGCTTCACTGGGTGCTGGGGGATTCCCAGAATGTCGAGGAACTGAGGACAGAAGGTTTGCCCCTCGGGCTCATTGCTCATGGAAAAACAACTCAGTCCATCTTCGAGTACTATGTACAAGATGCCATGGAACTGGTCGCAAGAGCTGTAGCCACGGCCACCATGATCCAGCCAGAACTCGCGCTTATCCCCAGCACCATGAACTGCATGGAGGTGGAAGCCACAAATCTCACTTCAGGACAATATTTATCAAGGTAAGATGCAAGGCCTGTGTTACATCCCCACTCACACGGTTTTGACTCGAAGCAAAATTTCCCTCTCTCTCCCCTTTGCAGAAATCTTGACTTTGAGTAGCTTTCGGCTCTAATAATATTTTTGAGAGGCTTTTGGTTACATAAGCGAGTATTTCATGATCTGTCATCTGGAATTTGATCTACAGATTTGAAAGCGCGTGGTATGTCATAGGGAACACACAGTCCTGCTTTTAAATCCTGGCTTAGCCCCTTACGAGCTATTTGTTCTTGGCAAGTTGTTCAAAAACTCTGACCCTCAGTTTTCTAATTAATAAGCTAGGATTACATTGAATAGCTTGATAGATGATAATTAAGATACCATGAAATTATGTATGAAAAGTACCTAAGACCATGCTCTGGCTTCATAGTAGATACACAACAAATGTTTCTCTCCCTGCCCACTCTTATATCAACGGATTTAGACAAATCTTTCACAATCTATACAGAGAAAAAAATTAGTTGAGCAAGAAATGGATTTTTCTCTCTCCTCCTAGGCCATGATGCTAAAAGCATTATAGAGTCATAGTGGAAGACATACACCCTGGAGTTAGACTCTCTGAGCTTGAATTTTAGCTGTGCCACTTACTGTCTATGTAACTTGGTCAAGTTATTTAACTTCTCTGAGCCTTATTTCCTGTGTCCTCTATCCATTTATGTAAAAAGGACATAACAGGGGACTCCTGTGTGGCTCAGTGGGTTAAAGCCTCTGCCTTTGGCTCAGGTCATGATCCCAGGGTCCTGGGATCGAGCCCCGCATCGGGCTCTCTGCTCAGCGGGGAGCCTGCTTCCTCCTCTCTCTCTCTGCCTGCCTCTCTGCCTACTTGTGATCTCTGTCTGTCAAATAAATAAAATCTTTAAAAAAAAAAAGGATCTAACAATAGATCCTACTATTCACCGGGTCCTTGTAATAGATGGGTGATAGCTAGATAGCTAGCTGGACAGAATTGAGAGTTCCACAAGAGTTTTACTGCCAGAAACTTGGAGTTTTACATATATATATACATACATATATACATATCCATATATGTGTGTGTGTGTGTGTGTGTATAGGCATCTCTAATTACATACTTTTTTATTTAAGTACCTTTCTTCTCCAGTTTCTCAGTCTGGTTCAGAAGGTAGAATGAAAAAGCCCATTTAATTTAAAGAATAACCCATAATATGGAAATAGTTTTCATGATCCCTGGGAAAAGGAGACTGTTGTTAAAAGATATTCTATAGGAGCCTAGTTGTTTTTTTTTTTTTTTTTTTTTTCATGAAATGGACCACCTGTGATCAGAGAGACCAGATAAATTTTTGCCCTTTTAGAGGTGAGGGCTTAGCTCCAGGCTGGTCCCATTTTTAAAGTTTATTTACTTACTTTTAGTAATCTCTAGACCCAACTTGGGGCTCAGGCTCACAACCCTAGATCAAGAGTCTCATGCTTTTCTGAGCAGGCAGCCCTCTTGGAGCAAGAACATTTACTGAGAAATAAAAAACAACTCAAGTGTCTTGCATTTTAGAAAGACATGACTATATGATGAAATGTCAGGTGGTCATAATCATTTTATATTTAATCTGTTTAAATTAATATGTATATAGATTGAGCACCTACTATGTGCAAGGTGACATGCTAAATGCCATATATTGGCAGAGTTTAATCACAGCCCATACACTCCCTAAAGAAAGTTGTTAATACAATAAAATAATTCAAAATTCACTTATCAGGAATCTACTGATAATAAAATTAGATATTCTGTCATCATCTGAACTTTCCATTTTCCCCATATTGTATTTGAATTTCCACAAGATTAAAGTCTTTGCCTATTTTATTTTATAGATGCTATCAAGATTTAATCTTCTATTTTTGAACTAGCACATAATTGAGGCTCAGGATTTTATCTGGAATAAGAAAATTCTCCTTCGTAACAAAAATATAAGCAAAACTCTTATGTGTAATTTTGAATAGTCATTATTTTGGAAGGACAATCATAAATAGCAAATAGGAAAAAGCCCTTATGAAAGCTACATTAAGTTATTTAGCATCTTTCTGCCTCATGTAAAATGGAAAGCACAAGAAAAATGATTCTGTTTGGATCCTAAAAATGTTTAGAAACTACAGGGAGAAATATTTGTTGACTTGGGTTGTATATACCCTAGGGGTTCATCTTATCAAGATCAAACTGATCTTTCTGGCTCCTCAAGGTTTAATTTATATTAAAGCTATGTGCCTCCTTTCACAAGGATCCCATGGTACTTTGTACATGAAATTATATGGTGATACTTAGCCCATTCCATCATCATTATTTGTCTATGTGTCTGACTTCTGAGCTAAAGTATAAATTTTATTAAGTAGAGACACTATTATTCAGCCCAGTTTAATGCCTAGCACATAGCAGCCACTTAATAGACATTTATTGAAATAGAAGGAAGGAAAGGAAGTTTTATATTATATTTACATCTTATATTATCTGTGGCCATAGAAGAAAAATAGGTGGTTGGTAGGTAAATAAAATTTTGTCTAAATTAAAAACATAGTCTTTTTTAACTTGGGTATTTAGTGTCTTTCTTCTTTTCCTTTTTTTCTTTTTTTTAACGGAATATTAGGTTTGTGGATAACCTTTGCCCTTGAGGCTGTTTCCACATGTTCATCTCACAAAGTTTGAAAGTTTAAAAGATTTGGAGCCCAGCAGCAATTCACTCTGTAAAAGGATCAGTGACAATGTGTTCATCTCCATGGATGTGTTTGAGAGTGAATTCCAAGAACTTCAGGAAACATGCCTAGGACTTCTTAGGCTCCCTGAGGAATATGGTCAAAGAGAAAGTTTCAAAGGGAAGTGGGTTAAACCCTGGAAGGAGTCTTTATAATGAATAACTGAAAAGCTGCCTTAAGCCATAAAACATCTGTGGAATTAACATCAGTCTTATTTATTTTGTTGAATACAGTCTTTTAGGAAGTTCATTATTCTCAGTCCATAAGTCTCATCTGCATACAGTAATTTTCTTAATTGTTCCTAAATTTTGTGAGGCTGACCCCACGCCTTCACTGCGTAATGAAAGACATGAGGATAATGAGCCATGAATAGCGGGTGTCAGTTATGCAAGCTTTCATTTCTCACACAGTCATTTTCAGTTTGGCCTGACAGAATTGTTAACATTTTAAAATGTTAATGAAATCACCAAAAACATGGATTTTTCAGCATAGGCTTTAGACTTGAAAAATGATTTCTCATGACAGACTACATAGATGTCATTAAAGGTATAAGGGATTTTATTCTTCCAGGGTCCCCACTTACCAGAGCTAATGTCTATCAAAAGTACATGTAGATAAAACCAATTGGGAGCTAAGTTCATAGTGTGATCTTTAACAGTTCATTCGTAAGTTGTTTTATAAAATGTCAATTATTTGAAGTGATGATATCTGGTTTGTTATTCAGTAACATGAGTGTTTTTGTCCAGCCAATGGCTAGTTGTTGGACTAGGGTGAGGTAGACAGAATAAAGACATGCATCCTACCATTTTCAACCTGACAGCCTATTTATTGCCTGAGGTTGAAAAGTAAGGAAATGATGATAAAACAAAAAATATGTGATTCTTAAGTAGAGATATGTTCCTATAGACAGAGGAGGAAATAATTAACTGTTCTCAGAGAGTGAGGAAGAAACACTGGAATTGAATCTTGCCAAACGAGTCATTTTCTGGTTTGGAGCAAATCCAGAGTCATAGAAAATGGCAAAACCCTAAAGAGAAATTTGGTATAGTTGGAGCATACATTGCATGTGAAGAGGATTTGACATGATTCTGGAAAAGTAGTTAATTTGATAGCATGCCACACAGGGCTTTTATGCCAGGCTAAGGAGTGTGCATTTTGTATGCCTACTGGATGTCACATGAATGGCCGAACATAGCCATGACATATTCATAAAGTCATAGTCCTGTAACGAATTAATCAGATAAAGTAATACAGCATAAAAACCTCGAAAGTAATTTTTTAAACCATTACAATAGAAAAATTGTTTTTATTTCTCAAAATTAGTTTTAGCCTTGCCCTCATTTTCTCCCTTGAGTTATAAATGCCAGACTCTGGTGAAAGTAGCTGGGAGTTTGACCAACTGTTTCTAGCGTTAGGCTTTGCCCGTGCTTACTTTAGGCCTTAGATGTTAATGAATCCATCGTTCCTATAGAAAGAGCTCCCTAGGATTAGTCATAGCATGTTCAAAAACTGTTATCCTTTCTTTAAGGGTACCAAGAGTCTAGACACTTAATCTTGTTCCCTTGGCATAAGAAGTCTCTGACCCTTTAGCTTACTAATTATAGTCCTGATAGTTATTCTAGCTTCTCAGCTGGCCATAAAATCTTGCCTTCATTCTTTGAACAGCTTCTACAGGTCAGTTCTATATCAGGTAGGCAGTGATTAGTTCACTTAGTCATTCGCAACCATTTGTTGAAACTTAACTCGTATTAGGTGAGCACTTTGGCTAATGCTGGAGACACAAAGAGTAGAAAATAGGGGACCTGCTCTCAGGAATCTTATAATCCCCTTCTTCTGTTCTCTCACTAAGCGAAGATATGTTTCTCAAATTATCCATATTTTTTTATCCACTTTCTTTGACTTAGCTGTTTATCACTCTTTGACGGGATAACACGCATTCTGCCATTATTTTCTCACATCAGCTGGTATTGTTAGGCCCCCTCCTCATTTGTCCGTGAAGAATGGTCCAACATACTAGAGACTCTTTCTCCTCCTTCAAGCTCTGGTCATTCTTCGTTCTTGCATGGTCAAGCAATACCAAGATTCACTGGCCTTTCGCTCACAGTAAATGTTGCTTTATTTTACTGATTCTGGACATATTGTTTACAACCTACTATGTGCCAGGTATTGTGAGGCACTAGGAAACTTCAGGAAAAAAGTCCAAAACAAATATCTATTTTTTTTTAAGATTTTTATTTATTTATTTATTTGACAGAGAGAGATCACAAGT